CAGATTGTAGAGATGAGGTCTCGCCAAGTTGCCCAGGCGGGTCTCGAACCCGCGGGCTCAGGCGATCCATTCACCTTGGCCTCCCAAAGCGCTGGGATTACAGGCTGAGCCACCGAGCCCGGTAGCTATGCATCTTTTAATGACAAGGCTGTGACCTGAGAAATTCATCATTAGGCAATTTCATCATTATGCGAACACTGTAGAATGACTTAAACAAACCTAGATAATAAAGCCAACTACAAACCTAGGCTATATGGTATAGCCTATTACTCCTAGGCTACAAACCTATACAGCAGGTTACTGTACTGAATACCAGAGACAATTATGACATAATGGTAACCATTTGTGTATTTAAACATAGAAAAGGTATAGCAAAAATACAGTATTATAATCTTATGAGACCACCATTGTATATGGTGAGAAAAGGGAACTTATTTTCATGATAAGGAAAAGTTCTATATTGCAGTTGATTCTGAAAAAATTACTATGCTTTATAAGTATTGTTAAATGAAATGTGCATTTCCAAATGCTTTGAGAATGCCCAAATGTATTATTGCATGTAAAAAGTCCATGGCAGAAATTTAGAAAACCCTTCCTGAAGCAGTAGAAAAGGACCATCATGGCAAAAACACAAAGAGCTCCTTTCAGAATTTAGAAACCCTCTTCTATGTTGGCCTTCCAGAGCCATCAATTGGGTCACAAAAATTGCTAATTGATATCCTCAAGCAACAAATCATTCTAGAGTACCTGTTCATACAACAATAATAACAATAAAAACAAAACCTCCATATTGGTTTAATGTTGAGGCAAGATCATAACCAAAGATTAAAAAAATTATCAGATAGATCTATTAACTATAGATTTATTAAGACAGATCTTTCCGGAATGCCATTGACAATAACTATAAACGCATAATGGGAGAAAGTTTTTATTTCATGCCATTGGCCTGTTAGTTTCCATCTCTTAGACTCAAAATATAAGAGACAAATGGAATTTGAACAAGGAAAAAAAAAATCAGTGGAGCCCTATATCTTTGAGGGCTTATAGACAGATGAAAGAAGCTGTATGAAGAACAACATTGTGGATAATAGCTCTTCAAAAAAAGTGGCACACTGCTGAGTATACTAGCTGTAAACTAAGTGAGATTGACACAAGTTGTGAGCTGTAGCATATTTGCAAATAACAACACAGTGTGTGCTCCAATGCCAGGCAAAATTTTTATCCCTGCACTAAACACAAGGCCAGATGTATCACAGATACCCCATAACTACTTGCTGAATTTGAATAATCATATTTACTTTTTTTGTACTTTTGAAAGAGAAAGTTACTGATTATAGAATAACATCCTTGGTGATGTTACTAAAAAACAAAATAGCTTTTGAGAAACAGTACTAGTTGAAGGGAGTTGGCAATGGAAAAGTTTTCTGAGTCTGGCTGAAGAAATCATTGTATTTTCTAAACAGAATTCCTTTAGCAATCACTGTATCTGATTCAAAGAGAGGCGCTATTGTCAGACCTTCCTACCTAGCTACAATGCACAGATCAAGTCAACTCTTTTTATTTCTATTCCTTATGCGTGGTAAAAAATAAAATGAAAGACCATGAAGGAAAGCTCTGTTACTAAACACAGTTCAGCAATTTATTTGATCTAAGACTTAAAGGGAGAAATATAGGTGGTGTTAGTATTTCTATTATGTTTTTTTAGATTATACTTAGGACTTTCTTGAAAGGTAATTTCAAATGTTTTGAACATGTATTCTATTAAAAGATTTCTATTAGAAATGCAGTATGGGATTCTGCCAAATATATTCTCTCTGTGATGTGGTAACGGCCTTGGCTGGCTTCATGTCACCTTCAGATAGTGCCCCATCTGCAGCCTGTGAAAAGAGGACTGATGTGGGTTTGAAAACACACTCATTAAATCGGGGAATAAACCTTTAAGTGAAAGGGGAGAGAAATGTGTCCACATCAGCACAAACCCTTAAATTTTTCACTCTCCTGGGGGGTGCAGAGGGAAGGGCATATTTTCTCAGACGAACCTTCTGGAGCAACAGCAGCAGCAAAAAAAATGAAAAGTGGGTACACTTCTAAGGGTATCAAATGGTTTTCAGAAAGCTTGGAATTCTTTCTCCCAGGTTTTTTTTCCTCCTAAAAGTATTCTTTTTCATATGTTCCTGACTTAGTGGTTTGAACACATAACTTGCTTAGTTTTCTACAAAGATAATGGCTTTCTGGGTTGAAGAGCTGTCTGCTTACATAGTATGAAAAATGAAGACATTGGGGATTAATTCAGCAGTCAGTCAGTATTTCAATCGTAACACAAATGTATATCATTTTAAAGTACATTAGCATATTTGCAATTCTTTTCTAACTAGATTATACTTAAAAATGTATGTATATATGTGAATGATTTTGTAACAGTCATATATAAATATATTCTTAACTTATAGTGATTTTACATCTACAAAGTATACTAAAACATCAGTATTTCTATTTTAAACTTTTCTGAAATATCTTGAGATATTCCAAGCATTTTTTTCATCTTTATCCTTTCCATAAGCTTCTTCTCATATGTACTTAATCAATACCCACTGCCTAACCTAGTATCTGTTGCATAATAAGTATTTAATAAATATTTGTGGAATGAGTGAAGGCCCTGAAAGTCCATTTAGTGTCCTTTTCGTGCTCCTTATCTTTGGCAGCATGCTCCATAAGCAGTCTAGTTTTTTATTTTTCCAAAGTCATGGGCATTTAAGGGTTGTCAGACCTAGCAGCTTAATCCAGAAAAGTCTGGAAGATAGTGGAATTCAGATTACAGGCATTTTGGTGGAGTCCGTGTGACCACCAGAGAGAAGGCATTTTCATCTCTTACCTACACTTTTAGGGAAATAAAGGTGTAAGTTCAGTTGGCAGAAATCTCACCCCAAGTAAATGCTAGAGCTAGAAAACATATACGAGCAAATTCAGTTACCCTGGGTCTCAAGCTAATCAACAAATATTCACTGAGCACCTACTATGCTCAGAAAGCTGGAAGGTGCAAAGAAAGCAGGGCCCCTTGCTGATACTTGAACAACCATAGTGTAAGAAGGATTGAAACACAGCCTACCTCCGCAGAGCAGCCCTTTGTGTCTCACGCAGGAAAAATTGTCACACTGGCAGTAAGGCCCATAGATGCTTCCGTAGGGAGACAAGTGGCAGATGCACTGCCCACAGTAGCAGTCACCCCTTCCGCTGCAGGAGGGATGATCTGAGGCCTCCTTGCAGGAATCTGTGCTCAGAGAGTCCTCGCCACACTCACAGCGAGGCCCCATGTGGCCGGGGTTGCAGGCACACACCCCACACTGGAAGGAGCCGTTCCCCTGGTGGCATTTGGAGCTGTTCACCTCCACTTCTTTCTGACAGTCACAGTTGCATTCGGGACTGACAAGTATTTCCAGGGCGTCCCCCAGCCCCACAGGCTTTATGATAATGTGCCTGCTCTTTCTCTCACAGTTTGGGATGCTCACAGTCACGTTGAAGGAGGCCTGGAAAGGAAAATACTAATTATCTTCTCCCTCCATCCCCCAAAATGCACAAGGTGAAACAAGGCTGTATAGAAATCAGCTTTGCCAAAAGCATTTACTAGAAAATCTTTGAAAAATGCTTTTAAAATTCTTTAATGAAATCCAGCTTCAGTGAGCAGAGCTAACTTCTGACCCATCCAAGTGTTTTCTCAGAAAGTCTCTCGGTCATCTACTTACTGTGTCTCCCACCTTCATGCGAGAGCATTTCTTCTGGTGTGGGAAGAGGGTACTGTTGCTGCAAATGGCTGTAAAAGACAAGTTGAGCCCTTCTGTGTCTCCTAATACTTCCAGTTCCACCTCAGACCGCAGTTCCTATTGTTAAGACATAAAGAGTAAATGAAGTCACAACCCCCAAAAAACAGCCAGAGGAAGAGACTGTGAATCGTGCTCATTAAACAACAAGTGAATAAAATTAAATTGGGTGTTAAAAGAAATTCACTATGTTATCAAGCAAGAAAGTGAACAATCAGCATATACATTTTATATTTTATCAAATCTAAGATAAAAATTTTAAATCTGCATTTTAAGATAACAATTATATATACCTTTATCTTATGACAATTAAACAATGACAAAATACCTGCACAACATATGAATCTGTCCTATCCATCTATCATTGTTTCAAAATTGTTTTATTCATTTTGAGGGATTTGACAAATTCTCCTGCCCTGAGTTGCATAGCTTGAGCTATGAAAGGCAATTCTTTTGCTTATTTCTCAGTAACAAAATATGACAACAGCTTCCTTTACATGTAGGTGTCATCATTTCTTAGCACCAGCCAGTTGGTGCTTTGCAAGGAATACAGAATTACAGTCATTCCTCCAACAATAAGTACTTGCTTCACTGATATCAAATTTACACCCTGCTGCTCTGTTTGGGTACATTTCTGCATACATAATAACTTTTCATCTCAATATCAAATCACAGTACAAACTTTTTAAAGATATTTTAAAATGGCAATTACATTTAGCACTTACAGTAGCAACAATACATTTAATGAATTGCAGTGACCACGATCACAATTGTTAATGAAAGCTACATCATGACTGCTGCCTAGCAGACAGTGATTATAATTCACTATTAATTGTAAGATAGATTCCAATTTTAGTGATGTTAAAATATGAGGGGGAAAGATGCCTTAAAATCAATATTGGAATTTATTTAGTACCTATTGTAGTTTTAGTATAGAGTCAGGTATGGGGGAATAATATCAAACTGATTTCTGCCCCCAAGAAGCTTATCATCTTACTTCTTCTATTCTTTGTTCACATACAAAATAAAAATCTGTATTTTGGGCGAACAAAATGATAGTATTAAAAATAAAGAATAAAAACAAAATTTTAAAATATTATGAATTAAATTATGCTTCAGTTCAACCATATGTTTTGAATCCACATACCCATTTCATTGTTGGCATTTTAAAAACATAGTCCGTTTCGAATTTTCCTTAAGCATAATTTAGCCAATTGTATAGCAAAATGACCCTGCCTTCCTCCAAACTCTGTTTATATTTAAATCAGAAAGAATTAAAATAGGAGCAGTCTTGGAGATAGTGGCACAGCGGATCAGGAGTTAATGAGAAATGAGGAATGTGACGGGGAAGTCTACAGTGACAACAGTAATGAAAACTAATGGGTGACATAATCTGACCTAAATAAAGAAAATCTTAGCATTGATATCATCGAATGTCATATTCCAAGCTTGGCCAGGAGTATTTTAGTGTAACTTTCCCAAGGATAGAACATACATGTTTGTTTGTTTTTTTCATCATCTCATTCATTCATTTATTGAGCATCTCGTACAAGTCAGGCAAAACAAAATAAACCCAGTCGATGCCCTCCTGGAATTTAAATGCCAGTAGAGGAGTTTATCCTTGGGATCACAGATATCTCAGTAGCTTTTACTATGCAATTAGGGAAGAAAGAAATTAGCAAATGATGGTCAGATGAATACACATTCAATATCTAAGTTTTAAAAAATATAAATATGGCATAGAATGATACTCTACTGAAATTTGTAGCCACAAATTTATAAACACAAAGCATCTATCTCTGTTCTTTAGATGTCAGTGAAAAGCATTTCATGTTTTCCCACAATATAATCCCTTTCTTTCTCTCTCTTTTTATAGACTGGAAAGAAATTCAGTCCCGGTTTCCATATTTTAGTCTTTTTTAGAATTCATTTTTAAAAAAGTAGAAAAATAATTTGAACTAGTGCCAAGATCTATTGCATACTTTACCCTGTGAATCATCGAGTTCCAATCATAACTCCAGTTCAAGATTGTTTCATTTAAGAATAATAGACACGTCTTAGTATTTCTGAGATAGTAAAATAAAGGTACAAGATGTAATTCAAATGTTTAATGCCTTGATTTCAACTACTCTGTAAGTTATGTGAGGTATCTGGGATAATAAAGCGAGTCATAATCTCTGACAGAGCAAGCTGGGACATAAATTGGGCTGGTCAGACTGGAGGGGAAATAGTTTTGACAATTCACTGTTTTCTAATTTGCTTAATTTCTTTAAAGATGTTAGCAGACAACATGTTGAGAGTATTGGGTTCAAGAAAATGGGCTGGGCTTGGTGGCTCACACCTATAATCACAGCACTGAGGATGACTTGAGGCCAGAAGTTTGAAACTACCCTGGGCAACATAGAAAGACTTCATCTCTATAAAACAAAACAAAATAAAACATAGCCAGGCATGATGCCATGCATAGGTTAGTCCCAGCTACCATGGGGCTGAGTTGGGAGGATCACTTGAGTTAGAGGCTGTAGTGAGCTATATTTTTGCACCACTGCACTCCTGCCTGGACGACAGGGACTCTGTTTCTAAAACAAAACAAAATTTTTAAAATGGAGTGTGTTCTAATTCAGTCAAGGATTGTTGTGTGCTTTTATGTGATTCTACACATTAAAACTTTAATTACTGTGTGAGAAGGAGGAATGTTTTTGTAGTGTTTTGTTGACAAGCATTCCTGTCTGGAAAAATCTCAAGCATGAACTAATATGGTGATTAATTTTGATGTGAGCTAAGAAAACTGAAAATTCTAAGACTGTCACTGGAAAAAAACCCCATTATCCTATAATTTGAATGGACACATCTGTATGCTATTCTTTGAGGAAATGAAGTATTTGTGAAGGAATACCATGCTTTTCCCCTTTCAGATGAGTTTCAAAATTGATGGGGTGATGTCAAATAATTGGGGAATTTTGATTTTTGTTTTGTTTTGTTTCAAATTATGTAGTTCTGCCTTCCCCTAAAGTTCTTCAAAGATGTCTGTGATAGGAATTTGGGCATGCCTGTTTTTAAAAAACTTCTCTGATGATTCTGATATATCATTTAGTTAAAAAAACACTGGTTCAGTTTATTCTAAGTGTTGGCATATACAACATATGGATCATTTATTTGTAATTTTAAAACATCATAAATTTGAATTGTATTCATTCTTATGTAGCTACTGTTTATAGCAAATACTGGAGCTTAACTGCTTAAAATTTTACTTTTTTTCATTCCTGTCCTAATTTAGGGCTTCAGTTTCATGTTTGTGTGTGTTTCTTTTCTTTGTAAGTAAAGACAAAAAGGGGGGTGAAATTTAAGAACCAAAATAAAAAACAGTTGACAGCTGGCCATACCTTGTTGACTAATTGAGTTATGAAATGGGAACAATGAAAGATAACAAAGCAATCCTGTAGGAATGTATCTCATTTTAAGGGAGGATTTCTGTCCTCAGTTACTAATTTACAAAGGCAAGGCAAAAAAATTTATTTATACTCATAAAACCAATGGAAAAATTCACCTACAAAGTGGTGTTCCTGGTATGGTTTTGGTGTTTTAGTATGTAGCCAATGCTTGTATTTTTGTTTGAGTTATGATCTAGTCTCATTAAGACTGTAGGCCGGGCGTAGTGGTTCAAGCCTGTAATCCCAGCACTCTGGGAGGCTGAGGCGAGAGGATTGCCTGACCTCAGGAGTTCAACACCAGCCCGGGCAACTTGGTGAGACCTCATCTCTACAATAAATTAAAAAATTAGCCAGGCATGGTGGCACATGCCTGTAGTTTCAGCTACTTGGAAGGCTGACATGGAAGGATTGCCTGAGCCCAGCAGGTTGAGGCTGCGGTGGCTGTGAGCGTGTCACTGTACTTCAGCCTGGGTGACAGAGTAAGACTCCCCTCACGAAAAAAAAAAAAAAAAAGACTGTGGAGTTAGCTCTTCACATAACTCTGTTACTCACTGGCAATTTCAACTCAATTTTTTTCAGACAGAGAAGAGCTTAATTGTATGATTCATGGAGCCTTTTCAGTGGAATTAAAATTTTGCTGGTGGCAATGCTGCTATTGGTTATGATTATCAAAACAACCTCAACTTTATGATCAGATTTATGTTTTTTCTACCTTTCACTCTATATGTCAGGAGAGAGATCAGAAAATGATGTGAACCAAAATTGTCTATTTTGACTGCATTCATGCAGAGAGTATTTTCTTTAGATAAGTAATCTCTCTACCAACAAATAAGTGCATTTAATTGCCTAAAACACATCTTAGCTTTTGAACACTAAAGAAATGCAAACAAGAAGCCAGCTGCAAAATATCATACTTCATAAGCCGAGATGATCAGCTGGAGAATGTTTCCAGAGTCCCTCTGAAGTAGCCCTACTGTAGCTCCAGGAATAAGTTGTGCATAATTCTGTAAACAGAAAGAGAGCAAGTCAATCTTTGTTCAGCGTAATTGAGAAATGTTAAGTGTGGGGTTCACCTTGCTGACTGTGATCACCTCAATTTAACTGACCAAGGAAAACCTGATAACAAACTTCCACTTCTTCTGAACTGTAGCCCTACTTTGTGCTGCCTCCCGCACTCATGTGGGAAATGGACCAAAGAGAGTTGCCACTGGGGAAATCTAGCATCTGTGGTTGCTGAAGTCTAGGGCTATGATTTATATCACCATGGAGTCAGGCCTCAAATGATAGTAACTTTGCTGTAATGGAATCCATTCACAGAACATCCCTCATCTAAAAGATTCTGAGCATACATCCAGTAACTTCTCTTTTCTCAGTGTTGCAGAAACCAAGGTTTGTGCACATGGACTGTGAGGAACCAGTAAGTCAGCAGGTCACACACTTTTTGGCATCAGGGCCTGGTTTCTGGAAGTTTTTCCCTTGGACAGGGGTGGGAGGCTGGGGGCGGGAATAGGGATATGCTGTCAAACCTCATTGCTAATGTTAATCTGTATCTGCAGTCACTCCCCAGCGCTAACTCCACCTCAGATCATCAGGCATTAGATTCTCTTAAAGAGTGTGTAACCTAAATCCCTCACATGCACAGTTCACAATAGGGTTTGTGCTCCTATAAGGGTCCAATGTAGCCACAGATCTGACGGAAGTCAGAGCTCAGGTGGTAATGCCAGTGATGGGGAACAGTTGTAAAAACAGATGAGCTTTGCTCACTCTGACTGCTGCTCGCCTCCTGCAGTGCAGCCTGGTTCATAACAGGCCATGGACCTCCTGCAGTAAGTCATTCAGCTTAAGGATCTTAAGGAGCAGTAGCTTGGTGGAGAGATGGAGTGAACTGTTGGATGCTTTCCGTTAAGTCTCTCTTTCCTACTGGTAAGGAGCACTTGGCTAGGGTGTCAGCACCTGCTGAGATTGATTGGAATTGCTTCCCATCGCATCACAATGGAGTGAGTCAGAACCTAGTTCTGAATGCATTCTCCAACTACATTGCTTTTCCTGGGATGTCGTTTCCACCAGAGAACTCACATTGTTAGTTTATCGTCACTCCAGATATTGTGCACAACCAGGGAATGCGACGTCCCAAAGAAGGGGATTTTTCAGAAGCTGAAAACTACCCCACCCTTGAATTTTATGCTTTAAAGTGTTGTCATTTTCACATGAAAAGTTTTTTTTTCAAGTGTGTGATACACATCCTTGTCTTCTTAAACAAAGACTTCCCAAAATACTTTGACTTTTTCTTGAAAGAATATAATTATACTCATCAATATTAACTACAGTTCTGTCACCATCGAAGGCTTTTTTTTTTGAGATCTGCAAGGAGATCACATCCATTCCAAGTAGTTCTACTGTTGTTTCTTGTATTTGCTTTTAAATAATTTCTACCTTCTCCTTGTTATGTTCAAGGCATTACTCACCTACTAATTTACTCATTAATTTATTTACTGCTGCACTCAACAACATCTATTAAGTAGGCTGGGCTACAATAGGAAAACACAACCATTCTGTCACCTGTGGTCTTCTGAGTTGCTGTGTGTTGTGAAATCATATGATTTGGTTTATTAAAATTGTGCATAGAAAAGAGTAAACAAGCTTCAAGGGAGGATTTAGGGCATTTTCTATAGTTCAAATAATGATATTCTATCTTATTCTATAGAAGATTTAAGTAGCTTAGAAAATGCACAAAACTAAATTGGAATGGATAATTATCATTAATTATAATAGTAATATTAGGTAAATAAATCAGGACCAGGGAAACCAAGTAGGGGAACAAATGAAGCCAGGGTGATGTTAGGACACCAAATGCACGTGTGGTGTCTCGGATGCCTGCTAGAAGAGGGCTCCTGGGTGAGTTCAAGCTTTCTACCCTCCAGTATGAAAGAAGTGGGCTTTGGTTTTTATTTGTTAGTTTGTAATATTCCACTTGTGTTTGTGTTCCTTACTGCATTGAAGTTTGAAGTGGCTGGAAGTCTGCACTCTTAGATGTGTCAGATGTCCCTCTGCTTTGACACTGTATTTTATTATTGCAGGGACTGCGGCTATAATCCAGGTAACATTCCTCACCTTTCTCCGTGCCCCACATAACTGCCTGTTGATGAAGGGCCCCCTTCTGTTTCCCTGAGTCAGAGAGAACTTGTAAAATATAAGGAAGGCACTGGTTCATGGACTTACCTTTCCAAATAAACACATGTCATGAAGGGCTGTGAAGCATGCGACGTGTGGTTAAAAACAAATACCTAGACAGGAACTTGAACTCCACTTAAGTGGAGCTGGAATGTGTGTAAGTTTGACTGATCCCAGAAGAAAGGCAGAGGAAACCTTTAGAGCTTGACAAAAGAAAAAAAAGGTTTCGATTCTTTGGGGAAAGAATTTAAAGGCTCATAGCTTTGTATGAAACTGCTGTCCTTGAAAAACATCCTGGTATCCCCAAGGCGGAGGTCTCATGAGCATGTTCTCTAAGCACTGAGTAGAGTGGCCTCCAAATTTGCGGTTAATTCTTGGCTAACAAAGCTGAACCCATCCACTTCCTAAAGTATAATTATGATCCTGCATGTGGTATGACATTTGGCATTTGGCTATTAGGACAAGTGGTTACCATTAATCGCGTTTGCTGATTGCCACCAGAGCGAGGGTACAAAGAAGCTGGCTGCCAGTAGCAGTAACCAGTGATAACAGTGACAACTGTGCAGAAGAAAACTATTAATTAATTTCTGGATGCTGCATCTCCCCAAAAGCATTTCAAATAATGAACTAAAAACATGGACAATTTGGCTTCCTGTTCTAACACTAAAAAATTATACTTTAAATCTTGTAAATATTATGATTACTGTAAATATCATATATCAAATTCCTTCCTTTTGTTAAAGTCTTAAAGCACTATTATAAATTTTTGGTGATTCAACATGTTTAATATTAGAGAAAGGATGATTTTGCATGCCTGGATGTGATGAATTGTAGCATTTGTGACTCTCAGTGATGGCGCTTGGATATTAGAAATGGTGAACACTGTAAATGTGATGTTGCATGAACTAATTAGAAATGCTGTGCTCAGGCTTGAATTTTTTGTTATCTATCTGTGGATTATCCTCATTATAGATTTTCTCCTGTCTGCCTTGCCATGCCACGCAGGAGTTCCTCAGTTTGCTTTTCTCACTCATTCTTTCTGATTACCTTAGTTTTCTTAACTTCCTCCTTTAAGACCTATTTATCTATTCCCTCTGCCCTCATTAAAAAAAATGTTTCTTATTTATCCAAGAGTCTGCATTTGCTTTCTGGAAATCTCTTCCTTGTCAAGGATAGAGGATTGGAAATGGACAGGGGGTCATTTAGCGGGCAGACATCACAAGATACAAAAAAGGCACCTGCACACACCTGCACATTGTGGGCTCCTCTCAGAGACAGTCTCCTAGCTTGGTGTCTGGTTGCCAGAACCAGCTGTCAGGTGTGCACTCCTGCTTGGCTCAGGGCAGAGGAACATACAGTCCTACACCTGCTGCCCTGTTTATGTGTGGACAGGCTGTTGGTTGGCTTTCTCTTCAAAGAGACTGAGGCTGAGAACCTTGGCACACCCTCCCTTGCTTTGGTGACATCTTGGCATTCTCACCCACAGAAGGGGCAACTCCTGACGAGAACCCCATTCCTGCTCTGACTGCATCTCCTGTGTGGTTAACTCCTCAGACCCTGGCCATCTTCTGGGTCAGTATTTAGTATTAACTGTGTCCTTGTGGGTATGTTGATCTAGTTTCTGCTTTGGATGGTGAGTCTACTGGACCAGTAAGTCCTACTCTTGTGACAGTTCTGCTTTAGTTTTAAAGACCCCTCACCACCTCAGAGCTTGTTAGCCATAATTTTATAGAGACCACGTGACTCAGCTTTAGAGGATGGAAAATCAGAAGTCGGCTTGCCACATAATAGCTAGCAGCATTTTTTTTTGCTTTTGTTATTACTTTAATTGATACATAATGATTGTATGTACATATTTATGGGGTAGAGTATGATATTTTGATACATGTATACAGTATAATGATAAAATCCATCACATGTTAATCAAGAATTTGTAAAACCAAATACTGAGAGCAATTAGCTGCTTCTCTTTTTTTTTTTTTTTGAGTTGGAGTCTCACTCTGTCCCCCAGACTGGAGTGCAGTGGCTGCTCCCGGCCACCGCAGCCTCGACCTGCTGGGCTCCGGTGATCCTTCTGCCTCAGCCTTCCAAATAGCCGGAATTACAGGCATGCGCTACCATGCCCGGCTGATTTTTTGATTTATTGTAGAGATGAGGTCTCGCTGCCCAGGAGGGTCTCGAACCCACGGGCTCAGGCAATCCACTCACCTCAGCCTCCCAAAGCTGCTTCTCTTTAGGCCCTGTGCTTGCTATACTCCTTCTATGAAGCCTCACTAATACATCACTAATATAACTTGATTTTATGCTCAGCACTGATGGTTTTTAATATTATATTATAATTTCAATATTATATTCAATATTATATTATATTCAATATTATATTATATTATGTTTCTGGTCCTTAAAATATACTTACCAAATTTATTTTATTAAAATATACTTACTTAAAGCTTGGCTTATATATAGACTGAGAATTTATGATGTTTTATCATCTGGTCACAATTTTTTTCTCTAATCTTTCAAAGTTTTTTGTTTTTATCTTGTATCTCTTTAGTCAATGACTCCTTTTAGGGAACTCTCTCTCTTTCTCGCTCTCTCTCTCTCAAACTTTAATAGCAGCATATCATGCATACACAGTGTATAAGTAATAAGTATGCGGTTTATGAACATTGCAAAAAGTAAACCATCAAGGGCAACCATCATGAAGATCAAGAAATAATATACAGCCAGCCCCCTAGAATCCTCCCTTGTACTGCCTCTCAGTTATTACTTCTGCCGCCAAGAGCATAATCACAATTTTGAATTTTATCATTGTGGAAGTCAGGGAAGATAT